AGTTAGATTAAGCAAAAAAAAGTAATGATTTCAGATTTTTGACCTTACACACAATGTAAACTCTGAAACGTTTAACTTTTTGGTCATCGTAGTCCTCGAATTTTACTACCTGGTCGGATCTTGCACGTACAAACACAGAGATAAATGAACTTATCAAAATACTTTTGTTTGCATAACTCATGTAAAGCGAAAATCAACAAAAAAGAGTACCTCTCGTATTCTGGTGTAAAGATCCATTATGATATTGTACCAGGCGTAAAGGATCTGAACGCAAACTTTAACCACTTCGCTCAGTTTATTTGCTCGATCCATGCAATATGTGTTCGGATAAAGCGCCACAAAATCTTCATACCGGTCGAGCAAACACCGAACTACTTTCAGATTTGCTTTCAATAAATCCTGTTCTGAAGAGTGGCAGGACGAAGATGCAGATGCGCAGCCTGTGTCCGCATCAACGTGGAAATTACGGATTTCATCCAAAATAATTTTTTGCTTTTCTCTTTCGGCCAACAAGTAGATATCATGCTCACGGGTGGATCGAATCTGGACACTTACTGGCTTCATTTGCCTGCAAAAGTAGCCCGCACTCGTCATTCACAAGCAACACCGCAAATGAGCGCTTTTAGCTTTCTGAAATAATATGATACCCCTTTCAGAACACCAGACTGCTCGACCTTTTAGAATTGCTCCACTGAAGAAAACTTGCATTTCCTCAGGCCGGTAAATAGTTCCGGTGTTTCATGAGGACAAAAGGGAGAGGCACAGTCGTTTTTTCTGCCGGTTGCCTTTCTCACGCCCCCACTCTCTCTCTCCCTTCGCTATGCTGACTGTACGTTACATGAGGGGGAGACTATCATCTGTTCTGCAGAACAAAGAATTCGGTTACCTTCCGGCAACAGTAGCCTGAAGCTGTAGCCAAAGCAAATCGGACCACTTGAAGCGCTCATTCGTTCGGCTTACTAGAAACATCTGAAAACAAAGAAATAAGAAAGCCGCAGACAGTAATTCCAGGGTCAGCTGGGCCGAAAAGCTGCATCGCACTGTTCAACACCACACTGACCCTTCAGCAAACCATAACGCCGGATTGCTGAAAAACAACAGGACACATCCACACTGCCACCGAACTGTGAGAAAAGGAACCCTTTTGGATGAGCTGTCCAGACGAGCACTCGATGTCTTCTCCGAGGAACGCTTC